TTCAGGAGAATTGGAATGTCAGCCTGTGGCACTGGCAGCAGGGCTTTAAAGGGCAGAAAGATGCATTGCTGTAGAACTTATTTGTATAGATATTAGGTTGTAATATTGGAGTTCAAGGGGAAGAATCATATAAGCTATTTAAGATTTCTTTTTGTTCTTTCAGGATCCTTACAGAAGCAGAGATTGATGTGCACCTTGTAGCTCTGGCAGAGAGAGACTAATTAGCATTCCCGTTTCCATTGTCTGTGCTTCTGGCCAGGATGTTTGGTGAAAAGAAAACACTTAATAATGGTTTTAGATTATGGATGGAAAACAGTGCTCACTATATGATGTATTTTACTCTGTACAAATAAAACAGAGGTTTTTGAAATCCTTAGTGTCTCCTTTTAATGTTATTTTTTAAACTTCCAATTCTATGAAATTGTCATTAAAATTCTTGATGACTTTTAGTGTTTCTATGGTAATTCCTTGCCTTTTAATTGTATTTTAAGAGAAACTTTATGCTCTCAGCTGTATTTTTCATCTGAGCTATTTGGCTCTTTGTGTTAAGTTAATATCAGTTTTTAGTGGCGTGTGTGTGTGTCTTAAGATAATCCTTGCATTCACATTCATTCTCTCCATAGCCTGATGTTGAAAGCATGTACAGCATTACTGGTTTAATTGTAGTGAAGCTAGGAAGACCTTATTTGCTCAGGTTTATATGAGGATAGAGGGCAAAAGCAGAAGGAAAAAGCTGTGAGTCCAAGTCCAGGCCTTTGGATTGATTTAGTTGTGGTGCATGTAGTGGATTTAAGAGAGATCATCTATAATTAAGGGGCTCCAAAGCCACTATTCCTATTTATTTAGGGAAAATATTCTGTATGTAGTGTACTTTGAGATTTTGGGTTAGTCACCAGATTTTGAGGCTTTGGGCAGTGCCAGAAACAATGCTGGGGCTAGACAGGACCAATAGACAAAGTCCATCAACAGGAATGTCTCTATTCAATTGAAGATGTCCCAGCCTCAGCAGTAAATAGGGAGATGATGAAGTTGTGAGGGAGGAGGCACTAAGGAGAAAGGGAAGATTAACCGGCAGTTTTAGTTGTTGTACAGAAGTCTTCTTGAAAGAATGCCAAGTTAATACAGCATAACTCCTTACCTTCATTCCTCTGCTGTGCTCTTCTTATATTGGCTTTAATTATTCCAAAATTCTGTTTGATTTGGAAAACGCCTCATAAGTTGTCAGAAACTGAGATTGGTTAACTTTTTTCTCTGTGCTTTACAGTTAAAACCCCTTGAATGTGTATTTTTCAAGTTCATTGTAGTAAAGAAGCCGCAATTCTGTGTTTGGTGGCTTTAATAAATGATAATGCTAACCTTATATGATAACTGAGTTGAGGAGGTTCAGATATATAGTGAATTGTGGACTTCACAAAGCTTTTCGGATTTCTGTTTGTGCCTCCAAATTTGAGTTTCCCTCATGTTATACTGTGTAATGTAGGTAAGATAATCACCCCTGCTTCTGGTTTTGGGTTGTTGTCTGAGAATTCTGTATGCGTTTGTGCAACAATCATCCCATTTGTGCAGCTAATGGCACATTTAGAAAGGTCTGTGTTGTTTCAGCTGCCAGTGATAGCTCAGTTTCTGAAAACCCCTAGGGCCTTTCTTCCTAATACTCCAGTTGTATAACAACCTGGAACTTGAGTAGGCTTAGGTCGTCATTTAGTCTGCCACAAAATATCATGCATTGATTAGTTTGTTCAGCTTTAATAATTTATGGAAAACATCACTAATGACTTCTTGAACAAAAATTAAAGGGAAGATAACAATCATATCCATATGACTAGGGCACATTTGCATAGTATTCAGTATCAAAATTCCCTGCGAGTCCTTTAATTCTAAATTTTGGAGCTTGTATGGGATTGTATGACTCAGGTGGTGGTTCTGATAGCAGAGGGTGTTTGTTCATATCTTGCCTATTTTGCAATACAGACCATCCCATCTTGTGTTCAGAGATGATGAAATAATCTGTTTACAATATATTAAATGTGAATGTTGCCTTTTTTTAATAAGCAAAGTTAAAATCACAGCAATTGAAATGACATTTTTGCTAATATTTTGCCCTATAGAGAAAATTCATCGTTCTCTTTTCATATTAATAATGGGGATTTTTCTGGTTTTAGTCAAAGCTTTTTGTTACTGAAGATAAGGTAGCAATGCAGGTGGGGATACCTGACCGAATGGGAAACCCCCATGTATTACACGTAACACATTATTACATTCTTCACACCCTGGAGCAGGTATCACCTGCAATCAAGCTGTACAGCTGTGGCTGGTGCTGAGCTGTAGCTGGTATCACCTGCTGTTTCAAGCCTGGCACTTCAAAAAGAAACTGGAGTATGCGTGGTACGATCCTGGTGCTTCTAGTTTGGGTAGAGCTTATAAAGAATGATACCAGACTTGGGATTGCTCCATGTGTTTGTGGTTTCTTGTGCCAGTGCTGAAAACTGGCAGAAGCAGTTACAGTGTGAATGCACAGGTAGTTAAATAGGAATAGGATCCTTTAAAAAATTTACTTGCATACCAGACCCACATCAGAGCTACCTGTACTAAATTTGGACTGGCTCTGCACAGCATTGTAACTGTCCACATTACATTACCAGTGTTCTTTATCTATGGTGTAGTGTAAGGATGCAAATGCCATGTACATGCAGTCAGCCTAGGTAAATCAGTATTTATTGAACTCTGAAAATCATTGGATTTCTTGTGAGTAACCTCCCTCCCTCCATGTAAAAGGGCCCCAAAGAAAGTAATGATATGTGTTATAAGCAGAAGTAGCCCAATGGGGAGCCAGCTGCTCACCCATCCCATGATGTGTTTAACCAGCTGTGTGCTGGATATTTGGTCCTGAAGGATCCTGTGAGAGACAGTATGGAAAGCTTCACTGAAATCCAACTGGCATCAACTGGCTTCCCCATATCAGCTTGGTGGGTTACCTTGTAATAAAAGGAAATCAGCTGTGACAAGCAGAACTTTCCCTTCATGAAGCCTGAAGTGCTGGCTTCGATCATGACCACATCCTTTAGGTGTTCAAAGGCATTTTCCCAAGGGACCTTCCTAATTAGCTTCCTGAGTAGCCTGAAGCCTGCTCTCCTCATGTCTGGAGTTGAAGTTCTGCTGGCACTTTTCCTCCTCTCAACAGAGATTTTAAACTCGATGGCTCTGTGGTCACTGTGGCCAGTCTCCACTCACGAGCCTCTCTTAACACAGCAATCCTGTTAAGGCAGGCAGTAGTGAACTTGTGTAGGATTTCAGGTGTGTCTTAAGAGCAGTATGTGCCACTGTGTAAAGCACAATGTTGGGCTGTATTTTTTCACTGTAAAGCTGGTGACAGTCTAAGGACAGGGGTAGATGGGGAGTTCTGATGGTGCGAATACATATAGTTGGATCACAACAATTTTAATGATATGGAATTATATGCAGCATTCTTTTTTACCTTCTCTGTCCTGTTTTGCATTAAATCAATGTCTAGGTTTACCAAATAAGAAATATTTTGGTTCAGCACACATTGTTGGAAGTAAGATGAAATAACTATGTCATTTTCTAGCTTCTAAAGGGAAAAAAAAGTACATAACTTTCCCATTTTTTTTTCCCCTGGCACAGAAACAAAGCTGCTATTTTGAGTTCTGTAAAACAGCAACCTTACTGGGTCATGAGATCAAGTTTTGTGAAGCATATCCATAGCAGTAGTCATGTTTTCTTCTAGGAAAAAAAGCTACACTACCAGGGTAGTAACAGTAGGGGTATTGCTTTTCATTTTATAATCAGTGTATTTTTGCTTTTTCAGATGGGAAATTTTTTAATTGTCACAGCTTGTTCCAGCCAGTTCTTGCTAGTAACAGTTTGTTCTGCTCTGTTGTTTTGCTGTAACCCAAACTACTTGGAAACAATGCAAGACATCCTGTAGTTCAGGATCTGTTGGAACAGTGAAGCTCTCATGCCCAAACTAAAACAAGAATCATCACATGCTTGTGCAAAGCTGTTTAAAAAAGTCTGGACTTTGTTTGTTGTGGTTCTCATATTTTAGAAAACCCCATGAAACATTTTAACCTGTCCTTTGTTGTATGTCTATAAACTTGCATTTTTAAATGACTGACAAACTCCTCAGTTATTCTCAGTATTTGCTGCTGTTCACTAAGATTTTCTTAGCATTATCTTTTCTGTAGTAATGGTCTTTCCCATGTCACCATCTTCTATGAAAATTCTGTGCTGCAATGTTAGATATGGTGACTCTAATATACTTCACAATAAACCTGATGAATAAATAGAGCCAGCATATCACTAAGTCAAAATCCAGCTAACTGCTTGGCAGAATTGAGTCATCTTCCAAGTAGTGTGTGCTTCCACTTTTTAGGGATAGTGTTTTTCTCCTGGTTCTTTTTAGAACCTGTGAGCCACAGCTGAGCTTCCTGGCACTGCAGATGCACTTCATGGCTGGCTGGTACCTGTCACTGTGGCTTAGCTGATACGTTCATTGAACCACAAGCCTCTGGAATGAGGTTTTCTCCCCAAGCCTCTAGCAGCATAGTATGTGCAGTGCAGATTAGCATACACAAGCCAAGACTTCAAGTTTTTGCCAGAAAATTTTGTTTGTTTCCTCTTCCAGAAAACTGACTCTTGTGACACCCAGCGGCACAAAGAGTTGTGAAAATAAGGTATTTAATCTTTTATGAGATTCCTTAGACTAGAAACCAACCCTCTCTGAAGTTAGAGAGTCAAATTTACTAATTGATGGAGAAAAATAGCATGAATGTGCATGGTCTGGGATTGCATGAGCAGGAATAGGGATGCCACTCACTGCCATCTGATGTTGCTTGCAGGTGTGATTAATCTCCCTGGGTTTTTTCTGGCTCTTCCTTAGCTGGTGAGCACCACTGGTGCTCATTTGCATTTGTGAAAAGCCATTCTCTTTATGTAATTGATGGAAAACATTGGGGGTTTTGGTTCAGTTCTCTGTTGCGTAAGTGACCTGAGTCGTCTTACTCTGGGATGAAATTTGCTGTACTGCAGGTGTAAAAGAGGGAAGAGGGAAATGGGATTGCACTGCCTCTGCTTTAAGCCGCTGTGAAAACACAGCCTGCATCACCAAAGGAACAGGACTTTCCATAGCTCATTATCCCCTTGGCTAGTTTTGACTTAAACCTATCTGATGACACCTTGCTCGCCAAAGTTGTGTTTGCCTTTGTCAGGAGGTGACTCTATCCTTCTCTTGGGCAGCATCAAGACTACTCCCATCTCCTCTGAGGAAGGTTTCTTTGGGGACAGTGCTGTTACTGTCCTCAGTTCCCCTGTTCCTGTAACCCCTGTGTAGCCCAGCAATTTCCAGGGCTAGCCAGGGAACCTGATATGGAAACAAGCTTATGTTTAAAAAACCAAAACGACAAAACCCAGCCAGAACAATAGCTCAGTGTGCACACTGGTTTAACCTTGATGCTGGTCTCGCAGTAATAGTCCAGCACAGGGGGCAGTGCAGCACAGGATCTATAAGGAGGGGCTGGTTAAACTGGTGGCACACCTGGTAGGAGTGGCAGTCAAAATTCTCCCTCGTAAGTAAGTACTTTCCTCAGGGAAGGACGGGATATTAGTTCTCGTGTTCCATAGACAGCCTCTTCCATGGGATCTAACTGCGGGCTGGTGTGGCTGGCTAGGCAGGGGGTTTCTCTGGGCAGTGCACTGTTAGGTCATTTAGGAAGCCAGAACTTTCAACAAGGTATCAAGAAAACCTGCAGCAAGTTGGCTGCCCGAGGGGATAGCAGCTGCCTTGTGCTGAGTTTTAGCACAAGTGGGATGGGCAGCTTTTCTTTCTTTTCCTTTTCTGTCTCTGTCTCTGAAACTAGTTGTAGTCCTGCACACTTATAGGGCACTGTGAAGAAATTTATTTGCATTGAATGTTGGCCTCGTTTCAGTTAACAGTATTTGGAAATGCCTGCTGACAGAAAAAAAAACAAAAAGCGTTTCTCATCTAAGGATGTGGTGAACCTTGAAAATAGGCCACCAGGTTAGCTTAGTTACTCACTGCCCCTGAAGGTAACAGGAAGCAGGCTGAGATTGCTGGAGTCAAAGCTGTTAGCAGAAAGGATGGGAGAGAAGGGAGGATTTTCAGTGACGACCAGGAAGGCTGCCTGACTTGCTGCAAGGTAGTGGCAAGTTGCCCAAAACCTCAATCTCCAGTGGATTTTTCAGCCTGTAGCTCCTGGTTTCTTCACCTGGTGGGTGTCTGCACACATGAAATGTTTGTTGAATAGTTTTTAGAAGATCAGGTGATGATGTTCACCCTTCCTATCTCCAGGAGAAGTTTCCATTACTAACCTCTCTTACCTAGTAACTAAAAAGCAAGTAAATAAAGTACTAAATAGTGTAGAATTGGCTTTGGAAGTGCAAAAAATAGTTATATCCCATGGGTGACAAGAGTACTTAGCAGGAAGTAATTTTTTAAACTCTTTCTTCTACTTTGAGTACTTTGCACTGACACCTACATCTTTCTCACTGCAACGCAGGAAACAGACATGGGCTCTTGTGTAGGTAGTTCATCAGGAGACATCTGTATAAAGTGCATTAATGGTCCATAGGTTCAAAGTCAGGAGTTACAGAGATGGGCTGCAAAATAAGCCTGGAGGGGGAAGGAAAAAACCAGACCCAGATGGTGTGAATGTCCTGGTATGCAGGTAAGGAAAAGGGAATAAGGCTGTCAAAAAAAGGAAGATAAAACAAATTAATGATAAGTAGCATTAAAAGTGGTCTATATTACAGGAATGAAGTAGCAGAGGTCAATTTCAAGAGGCGAATTTAGTTACTAATAGAGAAAAAGACAACAGATTGGATTTTTCTGCTCACTGATGCTGAACATATTGATAAATAAAAGCATGTGCAATGAGTTCAGCAGGATGATTGAGAAACTACTTCTGTTGATGAAGTGCATATTTGCAAAACGATGTTACAGTCTTTATTTCAAATACAGATAATAACGAGTGTGTGATGCTTTCCCACTTTGGAGGCAAATCAAACCACATACCATTATAGTACATGAACACTTGTGCCTTGTAACAAGAATCAATGCATGTGGATAGATCCATGCTGTAATCCAGCTCTGCCAGGAACATGGAGCTTTCAAAAGCACTGGAAACACCAAGATGTGCTGTGAGTGGGCAAAGGGCCTTGTTTGAGCTTCTAGGCTCAGGTGTGTGACATTAGGCTCTTGGTGTGAACAGGCAAGGGTGGGCACAGGTCCACAGAGTCAGAAACAGCTGCCTTCAGTCACCGCTTGGTCCCACACTGGGCCAGCACCAGCAGCCCTGTGACTGCAAGCTGACACTGTTCAGGGAACCCATCTGGGCCACTGCTCATCCCTTTGCTGCAGGATTAACCTTTGTCTGGCCCATCACTCGGTTGCATGGGCTGCAGTGCTTGTAGAACGGAGAAGGATAAGATCTTGAGGAAACAGGGAGGGGTAGGACCCAGTTAGCGCAGGCTGCTGTTTCATCGTCCCGTCAGAGTACAGAAAGCACACCCCTCGATTTGGTTGTGCCACGTACTGTGGGTTGCTGCGGTTATATTGTGTTGGTATTTGAAACATTTGCAGATGGATCGTTTCCTAGGAGAATAAACAATTGTTTTTTGCCAACATCACCCACATGGCTGCCGCAGGGCACTCTCCAGCACTGAAGTGCCATCCTGCAGATGCTCCTTTAGCCAGCTCTGTAGGTGCCGGCCCATTCCCAGCCGTACAGAGAGCATGAAGCTCCTTGTGCATGTGCGTTGTTCCGTTTGCACAAAATGGGTGTTTGAAAGGGCTGCACTCAAGAGCTGTGGTTGCTGCCTGGAATTGTTCCAGCTGGTGAAAGATTCCAGCTCCCTCCCTCTGGTCTTGACAAGTACTCTGGAGCTGCTGAGACAGGTTAGTTGTGCTGGCTAGTGTGTTGTTTTCTGCTCTTCCATAATGTTCTGACTCGGATTTCCCTTCAGGTCTGTTGAAAATAAATAAAGAAAATACAGCAAAACTCCTAAAGTACATTGATGCCGAAAGATAACACAACTACTGTTTACAGAAACTGTGATCAAAACCTGGGTGCTCAGTTTTGCACATCTGTTGATTTTTAGAGCTGGGAAAGAAAACAGCATTGTCCTCAGTAAGCAGGGTCATGTGAGGATAGCTGAGCTAGAAAGGAAGCCAACCCAAGCACTGCTGTGCTCTCACGAGCCTTCTGCCACAGGCTGTGGGTGAGGACTCAGAGAAGCATTAAATATAGTTGCAGCAGAACCTGCCTGGCTAGTTTCTCCTGGGCCTGTGCTTTGAAATTTTCATTGAAAATGTCCTTGCATGGTGCAGTCTCCCTGATGATAGAAGGGGCAGATGTGTCTCCAGCAGCCCTGAGTCCTGGCTGCTCACCCTGCAGCAGGAGGGTCCGCAGGACTGGGTGCTTTGTCCCCTGCAGCTACGGCCTCTCGTCTCAGGTGGTTTCTGAAGACTTTCTGCCACTGTTAACAATGAGAAACATTGCCGCCCTCCCTTCTCTCCGCTTCTTAATTATAAATTATGATTATTTCAACAATTTTAACTTGATTATGGAGTGGACTCTGCAAACTGAGCAACATCTATTAACACTTTGCAGTTGTCATTAAACACCTTTCATGCCCAGGTCACAGGCATATTTTTGGATCTGAGAGAACGGATCAGTTCTCTTTTTTTGAGACAAAAAAATGATTAGAAGTTCTGCCGGAAGCAAGTTACAAAATATCGGGATAAGGATAATTTGAAATTTGTTAAATCATTGCCAGTCCTAATGCCGTCCCCTTCAATTTCCATAAATTTAGCAGTTCATTACTCCGCTACCCACCCGGGGAGAAACATTTTAAGGTAATTTTCCCCACCCCCCTCAGCTGCTCCGAGGCCCACCCTGAAAGAAGCAGGGAAAACCTGGGCTTGTTTTTATTGGTACCACACCTCGGGCAGCGGGCTCCACCCTGGAGGGAATTCCCACGCTTGCTAATTGCACAGCGCAGAATGCCGGCAAACATTCAACAAGCTCCGGGTCGAGCTTGATTCCAGCTCCTGAAAATACACCAGAAATCTTCACAGATATGCACGGCCTTTTCGGAGTCCTTCCCCCTCCGAAGATTTTCTGTGCTTGTGCCTGTGACTTTCCTGCAGTCCAGCCGAGCTGTACTTGCTCAGCACAGAGAGCTATCAAGGCCTTTGCAGCTCCCTGAGACTTTGTGGTTTCCTTTTTCTTTTTTAATTTTTATTTATTTTTTCCCCTGCCAAACAGTGAATAATAGGGTTTCCTCTGACGAGACTGAAGTGCTCTGATCTATGCCTTTACCTCTTGTGGTCAGATGGGCAGTGACATCTTTCCACCTGTAGCTCAAACCTGACTGCGTTTCAAGCACTACAGTGCAGATAATGGCAAAACTCCCTGCAGATGATGTAAGTGGTGCAGAAAAGGGGGCAGAAGATGGCTCTTGTGTGCTTTGCGTGCCCCTCGCAGCTTACGTGATCCGGCCTGGCTTGTGAGGGCCCTCCCGCGGCCTGCCGTGGGGAAATGGCCGCAGCCTCAGCCGGGATCTCAGCCACTGGCTCAGCAAGAAGTAAAGGTCCCAAAACCCCCTCCTGCTTTCCCTGTTCCCAGACTTGTCCTCCATTCAAAAGTACCGTGTTTAAGGAGAGTGTCATAGGCTGGGAACCCCCCGTCTTGCACAGTTTCCTTCCGCTTTTCTTCTTCCTGAAGCGCAGAGCCTTTGTCACCTCACAGCCACGCAAGGCCCTCTGAGCAACAAGAAGATCGAGCACTCGGTGTGGCTCCATTCATGGCAGTCCCCGGGAGACCCTCCTGGGATCAGGAAGAGGGAGGAATCCTCCTTTTATCCTCCACCACTCTGTCAGGGCAATAGGCAGTGCCTCTGGGCACTCTCGGCTTGTAAAACCCACAAAACTGCAAATTTTTTGGCCAAGGTGTTCTTGATTTTAAGCAGATAAGGAGCAAGGGAAAACAAACTCGGCAAATAAATTGAGAAGAAGTGCTGTACAACCAGCACTGAGCCGCGTTTTTAACTTTATTAGAAATATAATTTTCACGAAGAGGAAAACCCCTTTAAATCCCACAAAACCCCTCAAGCCTGAAAAGTCAGCCACGGGATCTGGAGAATTAGGGGCTATGAACACATCGGACTGGAAGCCTTGATTCTCCTCCCCCCGCTTTCAGCAGGACAGGGACCAGGCCTAACCACAGACTGTGTGAAATAGCTCATTCTAGCAAAGTGCGTTTGCCCCTCTTCTGGAGGTCAGGGACTATTTGTTCACTGCTGAAGGGAAGCTGCTTTAGCCGCAGTGCCGATTGCCTTCCTCTAGAAATCCCCCTGAGGAGAAGCTGAGTAAGCTGAACCAGTGGATGCTGAGGCCATGGCAATACTTTCCTCCTAAAGCAGCTGTTGCCACATAAAACCAAACAGAGGGAAAAAAGGACAAAAAAGGCAAACAACCAACCAAAAGAAAAAAAAAAAAAAAAATTTAAAAAAAAAAGAAGGGAGGGGAAATGTGCCCAGGGAAATGTTATGTTACTAAGGTCTCTTGCTGTGTTCAGCTGCAAGGCAAAGCTGGCTGAAAAAATGGGAGGAATGTGCCTTGTTTTCATGTAAGGACTGCAGAGCATCTGTCCTGCAGTTCCCTTGGGATTGGTTTTAATCCTTTTTTTCCTAAATAACCAATCTGACTTACAGATGTGTGTGTTTTCCAGGTCCTGCAGGCTTGTTGGAAACATCTTCAAGTGTTTCCTCCTCCAGGCAAATGAGTGGGAGAAATCCCAACTGATACTTGGAGCAGGGGAAGGATGGCTCAGCTCATGGACCAAACTTTCTGTTTCTGCCGTGCTTCAGAGCAGCAGGGTGCTACAGAGGGGTTAAATGGGACTAGGAGCACAGCTGATTGTCACTGACCTTCCAATCAGCATGTGGCCCTCTGAGGCTGCACCCTCAGTGGAACTCAGGTCCCAACAGTCCTTTCCACTTGATTCATTATTAAAGTGGATGAGAGTAGCCTTCGGAAAGTTCATATGAAGCAGAAAATGGCATAAGGCACCTTATGTGTCTTATTAAGCAGTGAGTGATTTTCCTCTCACCTGCCTGGAGACACCTCAGTATGGTGGGCATGGGAGCATCCTGCTCCTGGCCAGGCAGTTTGGCCCTGGCTTGGACTGAGTGGCAGAGGACAGTGTCTGCCTGCCTTAGGGAAGTGAGAAACTCTTTAGTAAGAGCCATCAGGTGCACTGTGTTTCCTTTGGTCTGGGTGATTCCCCAGAAAACCACAGTCCTGGCCAAATGAGTGGCTTTGCTCTGGCACAGCTCCACTGCTGTAGTCTTCCATAGGAGCTGCAGCAGCCAGCCACACACAAAGCAGAAGAAAGAAAAAGAGAGTGAGGACAGAAAGATGATCCTTCTGGCTGTTCCCAAGCCCAAGAGAAAGTCCTGCCTTCTCCCTAGTCTCTTCCTTCCAAACCCAAGAACAGGAGATGTTTGTTGCAAGTGACCATAGGAAACGCACCCCTTTCTGAGACATAAACCAAAACCATAAACGAGCAAACAAAAAACTAAAAAACCCCCAAAAACCAAACCCAAACCAAACCAAGAAAAATACCCACAACCCCCCCTAAAAACAAATAAAAAGACCCCAAACAAACAAAAAATTATCTGTGTGGCACACTCATTTACACTGAAATCCAGAACATCCAGCTAGAAATTGCATCAGCTGATCCAGGTGTAATTTTGCTGTGATGATAGCCATTTCAGGCAAAGTCTTCAGCTGTTCATCTTTGCCCTGATCTGCTCTGGCAGCCTGACAATTGCCTTTCCCCATGCTCAGTTTCTGTGTTTCTGCTCCCAACCCCAACCCTCACTGGGAAGTTTTCCTGGGTTCTCATAGCTGCTGTGGGCAATGTCAATGTAGCAACATTCAAAACCAAGTTTTGTCTGGCTGCTTCATAGCAATTCCAGACTGGCATCTGATTTTGGTCCTTCAAAGCAGGATCCTTTGCCATTTCAGTGTTTGGATCTTCATCCTCACAGCTCATCTGCCATGCCTGTGTTCAGTTCAGCATGTTAATGTTTACAGTGACTTCATGGCAAATCCTGTAGCTCTCTGCATTCTAAGGAAATGGAATAAGGAAGGGCACTGGCAGCTCTGCTATGACACAAAGCATCCATGAAGCAGAGAAGAATGATCAGCTCAAACACTTGCCTTGCTGGCTTAGATAGAGTGGAAGTGGTGAAGCTCTCTTGGATGAGCAACAACAGGTCATGGGAGCTGAGTCACCAGGAGACCTACCTGTCAGCAGGTGATGTGGGACATGTCAGCCGTCACTCAGAGGAGCCACGTGAGATGGCACGTGCTGCTCACATCGCAAAGGTTTAGCTGTGCACGTTGCTGAGGAAATGGAGGGTGGCTGTCACACCACAGTTAACATAAGAAGTGAAGGGAGCCCTGCAGATAGTGTAGGACAGGTACTTTTACTTTCAGTGCTGGTTTTGTTTATACAGCCTGGGTGGAGGCAGGAGCCCCACCAAAACAAGCTTGCAAAAGGAACGTTTCATTTGTGGAAGGAACATGGAATTTCCCAAGGTGAGAACAGCAGGTTTAAGTGATTGCACTGCCATCAAGCAGCTGGCATTCTTTCCAGTGCCCCACCTCCTCCTCTCCAGCCTTGCTTCTTTGCAGGCTGAGGGCAGCTGTGGCTCCTCTGGCTCAGGGCCAGTCCTGGAGCTCAGTGCCTGCCTACCTGGAGCCATGCCTGTTTGCACGGTGAGCCTTTGTACGTGACCAGGAGCACCACCCCTGCACTGGGACAGCTTTGCTGCTCCTCTCCTCCCTAAAGCTGGGTGACCCCAGGGCCTGCAGGGGACTGAAAATTGATGCTTCTGTTTACCATGGTAAAGCGCTGAGAGCCAGCAGACTCTTCTCACTTTCTCGATTTTCTCTATTTCAGTAGAGCATACACTGGGTTGTGCAAGTTGCTGTTTTCCCTGACAGTTTCTCATGGCAGCCCCATCTCCCAGCATGGCCACATCTGTTTCCCTGCTGTCCTCCTGACCTTGACTGCTCATCTGAGGAGGCCCCTCTCCTACCTCCAACCTGCTCTGTGTTCCCAAGTTCTCCTACTGGCTTCTCTTGTTCATTCCCATGATAAGCCTTCAAGCCCCTCTATGTCTTTTTATATGGAAAGTGCACAAACTCCACCTCTCCTTTCTTCTAGGCTCAGCAAAAGCCTCTGCCTGCTGCTAGGAAGACTTGCTGCTCCTTTGTGTCCTAGCAATTTGGCGGATTTCTAGGAGTGTTTTCCTGCATGGTTTGGGCCACAAGGACTTCTATGCTTCTAGACCCAGCTGTGGAAGAGGTTTTCAGTCTTCCTGCTCTCACCCCTCCCACTGGAGGTTGATTCCCCTCAGATGGCAGGTGGAGTAACTAGAGTGCAGTTCCCTCTGCTTGCTTTGGGCAAAATTACACAGGTTAATTTAAATTAAGGCACTCTGGCTGGTTCTGCCTGAACCGAACTAAGGGAAAACTCATGCAATCCTCTCTGCCAGGTGTGATATGAGTGTTGTGGCAGCCAGGCAGACCAGGGCCATCAGCTCTTCCACCTGCAAAGTGGGCCTCAACAGGCCATGTCCTGTGTTGCACAAGAGGCGAAGCAGCTCTGTGCCAAGCAGAGGTGCTTAGCTGCTTAGCCAAGGAGGTTAGCTGGAAGCTCTAATCACAGGTTCTGCTGGGACACCTGCCTATGCTAACATCCAGACTCCTGAGCTGGCTGGAGCTGGCTGCTTCCTCAGGTCTGGTGTGAACAGCACTGGCTCTCAAAGCCTTCCTCTTTTCCTCCTGAAATATGCCAAAGGTAACACTCTTCCAGATGAACATAACAAACTTTCAGCTAGAGAATCCACATGAGAAAGGGGTGTCCTGTACTGCAGTGCAAAGGCTGACAGGCACATTTCTGTGGAAATGAGGCCTGACCTCCCTGCAGGGGAGAGAGTGAGAAGAGGGGCCATACTGTCTCCTTTTCTTCCCTAATGCCAGAGATTCAGGACAGTGTCATAGGGACAGGAACAGAGTGCGAGAGCATGGGCTTAGGTTGCTTGGCCAAGAGGGAGTAAAGATCTAGTAGCCCTTGGGTGAGCCCATTGAGAAGTCCTGTCCTTGGGAGAGGCAAGCACCCATGCAGACCCCTGACTCTTCAGGCACTTCCAGAGAGAAGCCACTATTGAGCTGTCCATACTGGAGGAGGTGTGGAGCTGCTGAGCACCAGCTTTCCAGGTGTTGGCCTTGGATACAGGCTTTCACTGCCTACCAGCATCCTGATTTAGGGTTTGAAATCTCTTTTGGTATCCATACTCAAGTGCCCATTTCCACTCCTGGACAGAAAGTATTTTTTCCTGACTCTGGGATGAAATAGTTGCTGGATTCCTGTGGTACTTTAGAATGTCCTTCTGTAGGCCCTGCAGCATGAGCCCCAGCTGGGACTGGATTATACTGCTCTTAGTTCTCCTGCTGTTGGGTAGTTAAGATAGACACCAACATGGTCAGAAGCATCACCCTGCACAGGCCTGAACTTAATTGCCCAAGAGCCCAAGTGATGGTGAGGTTATTTATATGCCAGCCTTTCCAGCACTGGTCATGGCTGAAGACAACACACCAGACTGGAAAGACCTCTGGGATGGTGACTGGGGTGGCCTTATTAGGTGTCAAACTCAGCCTGTTGCTCAACAAGCTGTTTTCTTTATGTAACCCAGTGTTTTCATCATGTAACCCTGACACAGCTTGCAATAGCCTGGCTGAAAAATCAGTTGCAGCATGGAGAGCAGTGTGAGCAGCACCTTCAGTGGCTCCATGTGTGCCCAAGCTTGATCATCCCTGATGTTAATTGTGGGTTTGCTCAGCTGCGAGGATGAGGCCTCTGTTTTTCAGTACAATCACATGAGCTCAGATGGCCCCAAGCACAGCTTTGATTCTTGCATTGAGCAGGCACCCAGAGAACACCTGTGGCTGCTGCAGTGCCTGACAGGTAAACGTGCTGGAGCTGACGGAGGTGAGCGACCTTGGAACCTGTCACCACATCCTGGATGCTGAGGATGTTGTTGCAGTATCTCCTGCCAGGGGCTTCCCTGCTCCTGTAACTTCTGGCAGTCCCTTCCTGCAGAGCAGTCTCTGGTGGCCAGTAGAGGCTGCCAGCTCCTGTGGCAAGGCTTCAAGGAACAGACCAGTTTATCACCTCCAAGTTGTTAAATCTAATCAAACAACACACAAGGGTTCAGTGAGCTGAGAAACCTGCTTTGCACAGGAACTTGTGGCAGCTGTCAGAAGCCAGGAGTGGACATGGCTGGCTGGCTGTTCCAAGGTGGTAGTGAGCTGAGAGAAAGAGGGAGACCATTGGGATTGAAACAGCAAAAGCATACCCTGGAAGCTGTGTGTCCTTGTAGGTAACTCTGCAGGCTGGATGGATGCCTGTCTCCATGAACTGGCATTACTCTGTGTCCCTACAGGTGTCTTTCCAAGAGCAGTCAGTAGCCTGATGGTCCGTGGTGTAGGGAGGTGGCTTTATTCTGGTATAGAAGGGTTTGAAAGCTGTGCCCAAATTAATGACAAGCTATTCAATGTGTAGACCATGCTGCTGAGTTAGTTGCACTTTTCTATGCAAACCAGGGCTCAGTCCATCCTTGGCAGGCAACCTGCAGGGAAGGATTCCTCTGACCTTTTCCCTGGATGAGATCCACTG